AAACTGTATTGATTTTTTTCTGCTTCCTTTCCAATCATAGGGCAGCTTTCCCATGTTCAGCAGCACGCTTTCTCCTGCAGGTGTCCTGAGGTGTGGCCTAGGTGTGTTCAAATCTGTCTTAGTCATTTGTCCGTCACCTTGTCATTAGCATGGCGTCTATATTTAATTGGGCTTCCTTCCTTCATCAGAAATCAGTTTTTATATACCATGAAAACTGCAGCCCATTATTAAAAGCCAGCTCTAAGCAAGATTCTTGGCTCTTATTTATACAAGAAGCAGTGAAAATAGTATATCAAGTACTCCTTCAGGTGAGTGGTGTACGTGAAGAACACACTATGTGTGAGTCCAGTATCATGCCTCAAAGCCACCTATTTCTCAAGTTTTACTTCATAAGCAACTTGGTTAAGGGGTTTTTTGCAATCTGTTGAGCCTCTTGATAGGTTGTAATCATCAACAACTTTCACTGATTGTATCTTTGCCTCACAGAAAATATTGCTGAATTATTGTTGTGGTTATTATTTCAACGTCCTTGGAAACAGCATTTAGATCAGCACTCTATTTGTGTGTAATAAGGGTTGGTCCCTCCCTGGAAATGGTTGCATTTTGAAGGGAAAATGAGAGAAAACATTACCCTGATTTTAGAAAGTCAGATGCTGTGCATGGGGATTGGAGGCTCCTGTCAGACCAGGAGCCAGTGGCTCTTGCAGGAAATGCAGACAACACCACCAAGCTGAGTGGTGCGGTTGGCATGCCTGAAGGATGGATGTCATCCAAAGGGACCAGGACAAGCTCCAGCAGTGGGACCATGGGAATCTCATGAGGTTTAACAAGACCAAGTGCAAGGGGCTGCACCTGGGCCAGGCAACCCCCAGTAGGAACACGGGGTGGGGATGAACAGATCAGAGCAGCCTGAGAAGGCTTTGGGGTAGATGAGAGGTTGGACATGACCCTGCCATGGGCACTCACAGCCCAGAGAGCCAATTGTGCCCTGGGCTGCATCCAGAGCAACGTGGGCAGCAGAGTGAGGGAGGGGATTCTGCCCCTCTACTCTGCTGTGGTGAGATCCCATCTGGAGTGCTGCATCCAGCTCTGGGGTCCCCAGAATTTCTTATGTCGTGGATCTGTCCAGAAGAGAACCTGTCCACAAAGATAATCAGAGGACTTGGACATCTCTCCTGCCAAGACAGGTTGGAAGAGTTGGGGTTGTTCAGCCTGGAGAAAGCTCCATGGTGACCTTATTGTGGCCTTCTAATACCGAAAAGGGTCCTACAGGAAGCTGCAGAAGGGCTTTTTACAAAGACTTGTAATGATAGGACAAGGCTTTAAACAGAAAGGCAGTAGATTCAGATTAGACATAAGCAAGAAATTCTTCATATGAGACTGGTCAGACATTGGAACAGGGTACCCAAAAAAGCTAAGGGTGCCCCATCCCTGGAAGTGTTCAAGGTGAGGTTGGATGGGGCTTTGACCTGCCTGTGGCCTGGTGGAAGGTGTCCTTGCCCATGGCAGGGGGCTTGGAACTAGATGATCTTTAAGGTCCCTTCCAACTCAAACCATTCCAATATTCTATGAGTCTGTAATTCCGTGTACTTGAGCTGCATTAAGAAGAACATTGCGAGCAGGTCACTGCAAGAAATCCTTTCTCTCTACTTGTCCCTGCTATGCACATCTGGAGAGCTGCAAGCATTGCTCCACAGTGCAAGGAAGACATGGATAAACCAGAATGACTCCATTAAAGTGCCATAATTGTCATTGAAGAATTGCAGTATGAGAAGATGCTAAAAGAGTAAAGGTTAGTAATGTTTAGTCCAGAGAAAAAAGACCTGTGTGGGTCTCAACAATGTATGATCACCCGAGTTTTGATGAGACAAGGAAAGACAGAGATAGTGTCTGCTCAGTGGGATCAAGTGACAAGACAAAAGGCAATGAGCACAAATTAAAATACAAGAAGTTCCACTTAAATGTGGAGAAAACCTGTTAACCTGCTAACCTGGTTTAGTGTTCACGTTGTCAAACACTGTAATAGAGAGATTGCCCAGAGAGCTTGTGGATCTCCATTGTTGAGGGAGTCAAACCCAGCAGGACACCATCCTGAGCAATTCAATGTATATGACCTTGGTTTGAGCAAGGGTTTGAACTGTGTGGTCCCCAGAGCTCCCTTCCATGATGCTTTGGTCATCCTGCACCCAGGAGTAGAGCTGAGCACAGGATACCAGGCTGTCTGATGTGACCCAGCTGAACTTGGCACACGATCAGAGGGGATTGCTCCCCACATCCCAGATTATAAGATAGTAAGCTGATCTAAAGACTTGCTCTATTTAACACCCATGTTCCTTGGCTTCCACTGCCTGTCCCCAGGCCATGCTTGTAACTGCAATCACCTACATTCAATGGCATCCCAGCTGCATTCTTCTTCTCTGGGCACAGGGCCATACAAGTGACCCAGGAGTCAATATCACAGCTCTTGCTGCCAGTGGATTCCCTGTCTAGGAGGGGATAGCCAGGTACACATCTGACAGCATTTGCTGGTGTGCCACAACAGTGTTCTAAGCCCTGCACCTATTAGAATCATCACTGGCTTCACCTGGAGACAATCAGCCCCTGCCATGGATATGCAGAGACAAAGCAAGGTAGATCACAAAAATTCAGGTTGTCCTGGTGCATCAAGTCTTGCCCTCCTGTCTTAGTGGCAGCAATGCTAGTGGAAATTCTGGAAATTATGCAAATGATGTTAAAAATACTTCTCTGTAGTTGCTGCTTCTTGTAACTTGTTCATAAAATAGTAGATTCAGGCAACTGAGATGTGTATGAGTGTTTGATATTAAGAAAAAGTAGGTTCAGTTTGAGGAAAATGGGTTTGAATCTAACCAGAGTGATCAGATGGTCATGAATAATAATAAGTCACGTGTAAAACATATTCAGTAAAGTGTCCAGTAAAACTAGTTTCGACATCATACTAATCTCTAAAATTATAATATGTGAGTCATGGCCCTTAGATGATCTTAACCTTTACTAGAGGATACCCTGCTTTGTATTCAGCAGCATAAACAACTGAGCAAGGACCTGTGCAGACCTGGTGAATACAACAGGACCCTTTTGAATTCACTGTAAGTAATGTTTTGGGTTTTTTTTTAATGTGGAAAAATGTTCAAAAATTATATTCAGGAGAAAAATTTTTGAATGTTCAACTGAGAAATTATTATGTTCATATTCAAGTTTTGGCCTAAAATTTCTTGGATTGTTTAATTATGATTTTGGGGTTTTTAAATAGAAAAGTCATCTGTGAGATTGGCACATTCATACAGCATGACTCTCCTTAGGAAAACTGCATTTCTAAGTGTTTTAAATTAAGTACATTGATGATAATAACAAATGTTATTGAAATGAAATGAAAGTGGGGTCTTAAGGATTGCTTTCTAAAGCATCTAGAGAGTATTAAAAAAAAAAGAAACTGGGTAAAAGAATTAGTGTATGAGTGATGGTGGGAGAAGTCACAAACAAATCAGAGCTTGAATTTAAATATGTTCTAGATATGAAAGTGCACTGTCTGAAAGTGGTTTGTCAGGGGTTCAGGCCCTTCCTAGCCATAGTAGTATTTCCATGACCATGATATTCAGAGTGTGAATTAAGGAGTATTTAGAGCATCTATTTCTAAAGCCGAGATCAGCATTCTGAGTTCCCTGGGTTTTGGAGAAACCAAATGATGGAAAGTGGAGAACAAAAATGTGGGATCATGGTGGGAGCTGATAAGGATTCAGAGCTTTTACAACACAGAGGCTGTATTCTCAGTGCAAGTCAAAAGCCTTAGATATTTTTCCCCTAGAGAGAGCTTTGTTTTATAAAAGGTTTGGTAGGTCAAATGATCACATATCACAGGAGGATGTTTTGGATTTCCGGATATTCCACATCTTTACTTCTCTCTATTGACAGAAGTTATTGAACCAATTGTGATACAGTATTAATTTCTAGAGGTGAAAGTATTGCCATAGATGTGGAATGAATGGTTTCCATGCTTTGGAAAAGGCTTTCCTGTTCTATCTGTATTTTTTTAGTGTCTTTGTTCCTCCAGAATTTACTCACTCATCTTCACTTTTAACCATTGTAAACTTCTACGCCAAATCAGCCTTTTCTTTCTTTCTGATGATAAATACAATATTCCTCTAGAGTTTCTCTAATTTTTTTTTTTTTTTACTTTTTTTTTTCAAATTTTGTTTTTAGGTGATTTGATTCAGTCACTGGGCTGGGCATGCCTTTGTATGCAGCAGGCACACTTATTTCCTTTTGGTGCTCTATGTACTTACTTATTTTCCCTGTCTTTGTAAGCAGCACTGTATTCTCAGGGTTTTGATAACATCCTGATTGCTATTTCTTTCGTTATTTTTGTGGAAGTTGTTTTTTTCTTTTAGTTGTGCTCAACTGCTCAAGCTTTATGAAATCACCTTAAATGTTCATCACTTCCTCATACACAAGTGCATTTGCATTCTCTTAGGTGCCTGCATATGGGTTTTTATGCAGCACATTCAAAGATGTATGTTTTAATTTTCACAGAAGAGGTATATTGTGCCTTTCTTCTGCTTTGATTTTTCATCAGTTAAATTTCCAAATTTAACTGATTAGCCTTGACTGTCTCCCTTACTTTCTTCTCTATAGATCTGTGCTTTTTACTCTTTCATCACTTAAAGCCACATTGAAAACAGAATATTGGGAAAAAAAACAGTTTAAAATGAATTGTAGCTTAACTTTAATGAGGGCGTATTTGGAATTACCTCATCCCTCTTTGACTTTAATTTTTATTATTTCATAACCTCTTCAGTAGGTTGAGCAATTTTCCAGAGTCTGCTTCCTTGAAATAGAAAGCTCATTTCCCCCAATTCAAACATCTCGGAGTCACCGCTGCTAAGTTAACTCTGTATAGTGAAGGGATTGATGTATTGCTAAACACAAGGTGAATAGATTTGTAAGCAAATGTAACTTTTCTTCTATTACAGAATCAGAGAAATATGAAGATGTTGGTTTCCCTGTGTTTTTTACTTGTTGGAATCCTTTCCAACAGTTACTGCTATGAGCCTTATCCACAAGGGGTGAGAAACCAGAACCCAAGAGCACAAGAAAACCAAAATATGCCATGGCAGAATGTAAGGAACAGTGTTTGTCGATTTGCATGTTGTTTCTACAAAGATATTTCTTCTCGTGAAAACAACGGAAACGTTTTCTTCTCTCCTTTGAGCATCTCAACCGCCTTTGCAATGCTGACTCTGGGTGCCAGATCAGACACCCTGACACAGATTCTTAGGGTCCTTTGCTTTAACCCTCGTCAGATTTCTGAAAATGAGATACATGAAGGTTATCGTCAACTCATGCAAGTGGTAAACAGAAGGAATGCTGGGCTACAGTTGAATATGGGAAATGTTCTGTTTGTGCTTGATCGACTGAAGCCACAAGAAAGATTTTTAAGTAATCTCAGAAACTTCTATGAAGGAGAAGCTTATCCTATGAACTTCAAGCAGGCTAGTCAAGCCCAGATAAAGATCAATGAATATGTAGCAAGAAGAACGAATGGAAAAATCAGGGACCTCATAAATAACCTAGATCCACTTACTGAAATTCTCCTTATTAGCTATATTTATTTTAACGGTAAGTTATACATATCATGTTCTTCTAGTCCATAAATTATTTCATCAGGTCAGTTTTAAACTCAATCATTTTTTACAATATGGTTTTGCAGGTGGACTCATATCTTTCCCTTTTGGTCCTCACTTGTATTTAATTAGAAACAAAGCTATTGGAAATTATGTTCTACTTGACACTGATAACTCTTAGCAAAATGTATGGCAAATTTTCCCATATCTTTTAATATATAAACTTCTTTCCTTCAGAAAATTAAGTGAAATACATGTTGAGGAAGCCACCTCTAGGTAGTAAAGCGTCTAATCCTATACAGTCTACTATGATTCAAGCACTTTCTTGGCTGAGATCCATTTCTGTGAATTTCAATCCAGCTGGTTTTTTTGTTCAGCAAGTTCAGAGTTAAATGCAAATAATGCTATTAAAGGAAAAATTAGCATCTCATCAAACAGAATATGTTTAGACAACAGCTTTGCTGTTACTGTGTATGTTTATGTATTGAAAACTAAACAACCTACAATAGCTTTAGTTTCACACTCATGGTCTTCTTATTTTTTTACTAACTATGCCTTTGCGGATAGCTTGTCTGTAGTCCTGGTGTGTCTAGAGGCATAGGTTTCAACCTTTTTTTTTTGATTTGCAGATTCTAATATTTTCCAGTGGAGAGATGGACCCACCAGTATCAAATACAAGCCTATTGACAATAAGCTTGTTTTTCTTAATTAACTTGTGCAGTCTGCTTAGATACAGTCTTCAGATGTTCCCAGAGCTTTTCAGACTTCTGATCTAATGAGAAGAAGAGGATCAAGGCTGTAAGGCTCAATCAGTGGTCTAATAACAGATATTGCATCTTATTTCAAACTTTCTCTTTCTTACAGATTATATGCTGAAAGCAAAATATTTGTAGTCAGAAAAATAATATTATGTAATTTATCTGATAAAAATATCATCAAGCTTTTTAATTGAAATGGAGATGGCATATTAGATAAATTTTTAAAAGAAAAGCTATCCTTTTAGAACCTGGATGCTTGCACTTTCCAATGCTAGGCTTCCCCTGAAAATAATTAAGAACTATATTTCTGTTTTGTTTTGCTTTCCATCTGCATCTCTGCTCCTTGTATTAATGTCTGAAGATTTGGCACAACTAAATGGAGCTAATTGAAATACAGATGACTGATATTTCTTAGTTCTCTTGAAAACCTACTTGTTTATCTCAAATAATGTTTTCATTTAGACTTCTATTAAGCATCAGGTACATCTTTCAAAACAGGCAAAAAAACCTGTCAATTTTTCTTTTACTGAAAGGTGTTTGAAAAATGAGCAATGGATTTAGTAGCAAAATGGGGGCAAAAAGCCCAAGAAACCTTATATTAAAGATGACTTTGTATTACAGTTAATTTTTACATGTTCTAACAGTAAGGGTTGTTAGTTTTTTTTAAAAGAGATATTCAGTTTACTACTGCAAAGATTTCCTAGCTCCTCTAAAGGTGATGGAGTTTCAGTTTTATCTCACCAATTTTAAAAGCAAATGGATTAAAGAATAGCATTAATCACAAAACTATAATAACATTTTTTTAGTCTTGAGATCAAGAGTAGGTTAATTATGTAGAACTGGGATTAATCTTGAGAGGATTTCTAAACCTCACTTAGCTGTGTAACCAGTGCATACTTTCAGGTGCTTGTCCTCTTTTTGTGCAGTACAAACTTCCCTGCACATTACTGGTGACACTTTTTTCGTGGTGTAGCATAGTACAGAATTCCTTCTTCAAGAACAAAAGTCTGGGAATATTTTCCTGGCTCTGACCTACAGGATATGTCATTCCCCTATGTTACACCAATCCTTTTTCATGCCTTAGTAAAGATCATAATGACAAAGGATACTTTGAATTTCATTTTACTGCTTGAGCACTGTGAAGCACATAAGAAAGGTGCCTAGAAGGTATCCCCTAAGATAGAAGTGAGAACTAGGAATAAAAGTGCCTTTGAAATAAGAGGAAAGTATTAGTGAATATCATCTCTGTCTAATCTGTGTGTTTACTGATAGTCATGGCTTGGGACCTTAATGATCATTTATATTCTGATCCCCCTGCGATGGGCAGGGACACCTTCCACTATACCAGAGTGCTCAAAGAACTGTCCAACCTAGCCTTGATCACTGTAGATGGGGCATCTACAATTTCTCTATTCCAGCCTCACAACCCACACAGTGAAGGATTTCTTCCTTATATCTAATCTAAATTTAAATTTGCCCTCTTTCCATTTAAAGTCATTCCCCTTTGTCCTATCACTATCTGCCTGTATAAAAAGTCTTCCCTCCTCTATAGGTACTTTTCCTCTATAGGTACTTCCCCCCTTTAGGTACTGGAAAGGACTTTAAGATTTTCCTGGATCCTTCTCTTCCCATGCTGAACAACCCCAGCTCTCTCAGCCTGTCTTGATAGGAGAGCTGCTCCAGACCTCTTGATCATTTTCATGACCCTCATCTGGAGTAACTCCAACAGATCAATTTCCTTCTTTTATTGGAGACCCCAGAGCTGAATGCAGTACTCCAGGTGGGATCTTGCCAGAGTGAAGCAGAAGTGGAGCTGGCCACACCTTTTTTATGCAGTTCAATATGTTTTTAGCTTTCTGGGCTGCAAGCACACATTGCTGGGGCATGCTGAGATTCACATCAACCTACAGGACCAAGTCCTTCTTCTCAGGTCTGCTTTCAACTCAATCCATTTTCCCAGCTTGTATTTATACTTGGGGTCACCCCAACCCACATGCAGGACCTTGCACTTGGCGTTGTTGAACTTCATGATGTTCTAATGGGGCCACCTCTCAAGCCTGTCTCACTTTCCCTGCATGGCACCCTCTCTGTCTGGGTAGCATCCCTTAGCTCTGGAGGTTATCCTTTCCTTACAGCATGTCAACAGAACCACACCATCTTGGTGTCACTGGAAACTTGCACTCAAAGAGGGCACACTCAATTCCACCATTCACTTTACCAACAAAGATATTGAGCAGCACTGGTCCTAATACCAACCTCTGAGGAGCACTGGTCATCCCTGATCTCCTCTTGGTCAACCAGCCATTGACTGCAAGCCTTCAAATGGAAACATCCAGACAATTCCTGATCCATTCAGCGGGCCACTTCTCACACTCATCTCTCCAGTTTAGAGTCAAGGATGTCATGTGGGACAGTGTGAAATTCTTTGTGCAGCTCCAGGTAGATGATATCTGTTGATCTTCCTTTACCACAGTTTACCCTTAGTGAAGTCATGTTGTCAGTCACCAATCACTTCCTAATTTTCCATGTGTCATAGCACAGTTTCCAGGAGGATCTGCTCCATATCTTGCCACTCAAAGAGGTGAGAAAGACTGGTAGTTTCCTGGGTCTTTCTTTTCTTTTCTTTTCTTCATTTTTAAAAATGAGAGCTCTCATTTATATTTTTCAGTCAGTGGAAATTTCCCTGGACTGCCATAACTTCTCAAATATGATGGATAGTGGTATTGCTGTTCCATCTATATCCCTCATGATCTGCAGGTCCCATGGACATGTTCATCTTCAGGTTCTTCACATGTTCTTGAACCTGACCTTCTTCTACAGTGGACTACTTTCATTCGCCCAGTCCCTGCACTTGCCAGTAAATATTGAGGGGGAAAAATGTCATTGGGTACCTCAGCCATGTTCTGCGTAACCAGGCTTCCCATTTTCTTCTGGAGGGAGTTCACATTTTCGCTAGTCTTCCTTTTATCATTGTCATACCTATAGAAGCTTTTCTTGTTGCCCTTAATGTCCCTGGCCAGATTTAATTCTATCACACCTTTAACTTTCCTAATCTATTCTTTGGAAGCTCAGAAAATCTCTTTTTATACTGCCCAGGTTACCTGTCCTTGCTTCCACCTTCTGTAGGCTACCTGTTTGTGTCTGAGTTCACCAAAGAGCTCCTTGTTCATCTGCACAGACCTCCTGGAATTTTTACCTGACTCCTTTGTTAGGATGGATCACTCCTGTGCTTGGTGGAGGTCATCCTTGAATATCAAGAGAATCACAGAGCCATTAAGGTGGGAAAAGACCTCCAATATCTTTGAGTTCAGCCTTTGACTGAACACCACCATATTGAATAAATTATTTGCACTAAGTGCCAAGGCCAGTCATTTCTTGCACATTTCCAGTGATCATGAATCTACCATATCCCTGAGCAGCTTTTTAAAATGTTTGACAACCTCTTCAGTGAAAAAAAATTTCCTGATGTCCAACCTGATCCTGCCCTGAAAGATCTTGAGGCCATTTCCTCTTGTCCTATCATTTGTTGCCTGGGAGAAGAGACTGACCCTGACCTGGCTACATCCTCCTTTCTGGCAGGTGTAGAGAGCAATGAGGCTCCCCCCCACAGCCTCCTTTTCTCCAGCCTAAAAATCCCCAGTTCCCTCAGGTGCTCCTCACACGACTGACTCTCTAGAGCCTTCCTCAGCTCTGTTGCCCTCAATGCTCCAGCACTTCAATCATTGTGAGGCTCTCAAAACTGGGCCTCGAACAGAACTGGAGGTGTGGCCTCAGCAGTGCTGACAATCATGGGGACAATCCCTGCCCTGGTCCTGCTGGCCACACCATGGCTGGCACAGGCCAGGATGCCATCGGCCTTCTTGGCCACCTGGGCACAGCTGGCTGGTGTTCAGCAGCTGTTGACCAGCACCTCCAGGTCCTTTTGCACTGGGCCACTTTCCAGCCACTCTGCCCCCAGCCTCTAGAGCTGCATGAGATTGTTGTGACAAACCAGCTTTCCTGGGGCCCTCTTCCCTCCCTGGCTTTATCCCAAGCAGATCTCTGAAGAGGCCAAAGTTTGCACTCCCCAGAGTAGTGGTCCTAACATCCTAGACAGTTTTCAAGCAAAATTCTTCTTGAAATCAGTTGGTCTTCCCTGAGTTGAGCGCTAGATAAATGTTTAAGTTTTTCAGGACTGGTGTCAGTCATGTTTTTGTGATTCATTCTTCTTTTTTTTCCCCTTAAGCATAATAATGTAAAAGTTCTGCATGTTATATATCTGATGATAGAAGTCACTATTAATGAAGTATATAAAGTATATGAAATGTATAAAAGTAGCAACTTTTCCCTGTTCAGAGCATTGCAGTTGTCAATCTATGCTTTCAGAGACCAAGACACGCACTGAAGAAATCTCATTTCACTTTTTCAAAAGCTACTTAGTAGTGCAGGCTGTGTCAGATAGTGGAAACAGCAGAAAATAATTATTTCATTTGTAACAAGTTGCCTAGTAATCAGTGTTCAAGTAGAAATCAGAAGTCAACAGGGATTGCATCTTGTTTCATGGTTTTCCTGATGCCACTCATTTTACTTAGTGTCACAGCTCTACTTTTGCCCATACATAAAATGTTAGTTTTGCTCTAGAAGGCAAAATTTACTACATGGCAACAAGATTTCTTAAAAATTAAAATAAAAACAACAAAAAGACTTTCCAAAACTCCACAATTTCCCACTTTTTAAAAAAGTTTGCTCAGCCTCTGAAAGGTATGATGGGGATACCTGGAATTTGGTTTTGAAACTCCTCTCCACTGAGGATAAGAACCTTTCAGAGTTTCAATGTGGATAGTTTGTTTCACCATGACTAAGTGAGGAACCTTTGAAAATTTAATTTGGTGAAGATGACAGTGGAAAAGTTTTCTGCTGTTGCTGTTTTGTTTCCTAGATCAGCAGTCTGGTAAAATTAAGCTCCTTATGACTCTATACATCATCAGCTAATGTGAGGTACCAACACCTCTCTGCAAGTAACCCAAATCCCTTAATTTCTCTGGAGAATTCATCCCTTGTGTCACCTTTTACAAGCCTGTTTTGGTTGGGAATAAGAAAATGAGAGAATCTTCTTTTGAGCTTAGATAAAGGCTGCATTATATGAGGACTTTACAGGCTTCTCAAGACTGTCATCATGCAGGAAAAGTGCAAGTTAGAACCCTTGATAACTCATCTAAATGAAGGATTTTGCAGCCTGCTGTAAGATCTGAGGGAGAGTTTTACATCATTTTTTACCAACTGTGTGTTGCTATTGAATTATTCTGAGTATTTAGTAAGATCGTGATCATTGCAAATTGGTTTGTCTTTGAAGCTGATCCATCTGTACCAGTTTCTGTCATCTAAGAATGTGTCCTATGATAATATGTCCTATGGTTTCATGTCCTTAAAAATATCCTGTAACTCTGTCTCTTATATTTCAAGCTGAATGGGAAAAACCTTTCGATCCAAAATACACCAAAATGAGCAAATTTTTTGTGGATGGGACCAAGGTTGTTGAAGTCCCAATGATGTTTGGAATGGGCCTGTTCAAGCATGGCTATGATGAGCAGCTGTCTTCCACTGTGGTGCAAATGGATTACAAAGGAGGTGCTTCAGCGTTTTTTATTCTGCCTGATAGAGGAAGAATGAGGAAGCTGGAGAAAAGATTGTCTTGTGAACATTTGTCAAGATGGTCGACATTAGTCACAAAAAGGTAAAATTCTGCAGTTCTTGGTTCAGATGGTAGCCAAGGAAACAAATATGCTGGGGTATGACACAAAATCAATCTGCAATTTTTAGTTCTGCTTTAAGCAGTAAAAGAAATTTCCTGACCTAAGTTGGATCTGGCTGATTTAGGGTCCAAGTGTTCTCACATTCAGGACTGCACAACCTGAAAACCTTCACAGATTAGGACTTTTGTTATTTCTGAATTTTGTTTCCCATCTTCAGTTCTTAATAGGCCCTTTTTGACTTAGACCCTTTCTCATTTTTTGGGGGGAAGTTTTCTGCCTTTTATTTACAAGTATATTCCTACCCCTTCAGCCTCTTTTCTTGTCTCTTCTTAATTTCTGCCTATTAAAATTAACAGCAATTGTGCAGTTAATGCTGAAATAACAACTTCCATTCAGCAATTGCGAAGGCAAAGTTCAATATATGAAAAAAACAAAGCCAAACAAAATAAACAAAACCCCCACCAAAACAACAACAAAGTAAAAACCCCCAAAACAACAACAACAATAAAAAGAAACCAAACCAAACAAAAAAAAAAAAAAAACCACAAAAAAAAAGAAAGAAAAAAAAAGAAACCCAGCAAAAACAATGTAATTCTCTGTGCACCTTTACAGTTTTGAAACTTCTGGGAGTAGCTATGTGGTTTGTGACTATAGGACAAAAAGGTGGTGACTCAAGATACTCAGGTATAATTTTTGCCAAAGAAACAATTGCCTTTACAATTATCAAGATGAATGCTAAATAAAATTGGGGGAATTTATATTTCCTCTCTCCATCTCACAATACGAAAAAGAATGACAGTCAAAGACGAGTCTGTTTCATGCTGCTCCCCATTTTTCATCATAACCATTCCCTCCTACAAAATAATGACAAATTCCTCCTTTCCCCTTTAATCTTTAATACAATTGATTGTACCAGCTATTATTTGTAGTCTCTGGGAGGTCTTAATAAATGAAAGTATTATATGGAATCATGTAAAGGCTATGACCTACCTCTTTGTCCCTTCTCTGTCTGCAAACTGATGTTGATATTAGTGGCAGAAGTGTTGTGAAGGACATCTTTCATTTCTGGTGGCTGACAGAACAGTGCTGAAGTGTCACCAGTACAGAGAGCTGAGATCTTTTAAATGGCTGAACTAAAGAGATAACCTCACTTTCACTCCTGGAAAGGGTATCCCACTGCTCCATTCCTGGTTGCATTGCTCCTGTGTGTCTGTGGCTTTCCCTTTGCTCTGTACTGGAAGCAAGTGGGGGCTTGTGAAGGAGTGCCTTTAGGTAACAGTAAGGCAGAGGATTCAGTGATAGCTGCACCCTCATTCAGGGCAACAATCAGCATGGACTGAAATCAGGGAGAAGTAAGAGGTCAAGCAACCTGTCAATCCACAGCACTCTTGTTTTTGGATACAGCCAGAGCTGGCATTAGATGCTGTGCAATGCCAGAGGTATGGGCTTTTCCTTCCCCCCCTGCCCACTGGATGACTTTCTCTTTGGTTAGCTTCATTAATGCTCCACATCTCCCTGACCTAAAGCCCTGGAGAGCTGCCCTGGTTTCTCACCAGGTAATAGTACCTAATGTCAGTGCTATCACTAACCTCTGTCTCATTATGCTGCTTCTAGCCATAAATGTTGGGCTTAACCTTTGAAAAGTAATTCTTAGATACTTAGGAGAAAAACGGGGAAAAACAAGGATAAATGAGTCAGAAACATAGAGCTTTTGTTAATTTTTGTAAAGCAGCAATCTAGGCACTTAAAACTGAGTAAGTCAGACACTGGGGTTGACACAGGAAAGAAATTATCTATTGACTAACTGTATTCTGTAAATTTGCTTTTGTCTTTTATTTTGCCATGCCTTCTATCACTACTTACTATTGTCTTGCTTCTTTAGTGGATATAGTTCCATTTTGTCTGTCCTGCTTTATATGACAAATACACAAGGCCAGTTTTTTCTCCAAAACTAACATTCCGTGAACTTGAATGTGTTGGATTTTTTTTGTGCTCAGCTTGAGACACCTAAAGGAGTCTCTTTTTCACAAGGTAATGGCTCATGATTAAGGTGCTTCCAGCTGATTGCAGAAAAGATCACAGACTTCAGAAAATTTTCATCTCCTATGTAGACTAGAAGGAGGCTACAGGCAAAACGTCTTTAGGGAGAAAGCAAAATCAGTTTTCTTCTTATGAGTCTATGTTGTTCTGTGATAACTGATCAAATGTTTCATTGTATTCTTGTACTTCTTTCCTGGCAGCTCAGTAAATTTGTATCTTCCAAAATTCACGCTTTATGGGACGTATAACCTAAAAGATATCTTATATAAAATGGGCATCATGGATCTATTCACTGATAAGGCTGACCTCTCTGGGATCACTGGGCAGCCTCAGCACAGAATTTCCCAGGTAAGTCATACTGCTTTTTGTTTTATGGTTACTGATACTTGCATCACTTTCTGCACAGCTATTCATGGTGCAAAACTCATGTAAAGAGGCTTTGCTTCCATAAAAAGGCAGCTGATGGCACGCAGAGTATTTTATCCATGTTAGTTGCACTGTATGAGCAATTGGGTTGGAGCAAGCTACTAGTCTGTAATTTTTTAATTTAAAAGGCTATTTTGACCTGCATGGGGCAACTTTATAAAACATACATGACCAAATCATTATCTGTGCACACCCTGGTACCCTCTTGCAGCATGTTGTTACAGTCACCACTGGGTGCTTCTGCTTGTGTCTGCCTTCTTTAGCCTGCTTGTGGGCAAGTAGGGAGCTGTAGGATGTATCACTGCTCATATTTTATGGAGGTGAGGGAAGAGGAAAAACACACTGCTTGCTTTTAAACTGCCTGGGAGAAATGAAAATGCAATTATTACAAACATTTGGCTTCAAGCATATTAACAATTACTGCTAGGCTCTGGTAAAAGCTACAGATAGATCATGCTTCAATTAACCTAGAGTGTAAAGCTCACAATCAGGGCAAACTTAATTGTATAATGAAGAAAACAACTGCCCTCATGGCCTCAAGTGGACATTAGCAAATCAGGATCTGTCAGTGTCTTGATTTCACAAAATCAAACTTTTGTGTTTCTGTGCTTTAACCCTCCATTTCTGGCCATTCATCTCTGCTCCCATTTTTCCCAAAACATGAAGGAAGATAGGAAACATAATTTAAGGTTTTTATTCATGTTATTTTTTCAACTGTGTGAACTTCTAATACACAGTTAAATATGGTCTTACTCTCTTAACATTTGGTCTAGCTGTACAGATCTCCATGAGTGTATGCAAATAATAAGAAAAGAAACAAAGCAAATGTTTTCACTAGCAGGGACATGCCCCTCCAGAGTAACTTTTCCTGGAGAGTAACTTTTCCTCTTGGGGGCTAGAAAGTTGTGCTGCATGTAGTTTGCTGATTTCCCCCCCCCCCCCCAAACTTTGCTATCTTTAAGCAGTGGACTCACACCTGTCCATCTGACACTTGTTTCTTATCAGTAATTTCTTCAGGCACCTTTAACTCTCATTCTTATTTAGATGACCAGTTTTGTACTCCCTTGACTTGTCAAATGTGTGTTTCTTCACAGGCTATTCATAAGGCTGTGGTAAAGGTGGATGAGACTGGCACCGAAGCAGCAGCTGCCACAGGCATGGAAATAGTGCCCATGTCCGTTCCAATTACCGTTAGATTCGACAGGCCCTTCCTAATGGTCATAAACATGGAAAACACTATACTCTTCATGGGAAAAATTGTGAACCCTCTGAAGAGAAATTAAGTTAATGTACAAATTAGGTATGTGGTGATGACCACTCCTAGATCAAGTATTAGACCTGATGAGTATGGCATGGCTACAGAGGGGCTCCTCACGTCTTAACTGATGTTATTCACTGTTTTTTGTAGATGAGACTCTTCATCCATTTAAGTTACCATACTTGCATGTTTGTTTGGGCCTTGCTTCTTTTTTTTTTTTTTTTAAAGAAGGTTGCATTCATGCAGAACTGTCATTAGCTCTGGGACAAAATAGGCCTGTGTGATACTGACAGCATAGATACATCTTCTAGCAGGGAAGATGAGGAGCATGTGGGTGGAGAGGGTTGTGTACGTCTGCTTCTTCCCTCATGGCTGCCTTCTCTCCTATTTTTTATGTTGACTGACAAATAGGTACAAGTTATGTCACTTTACTATTTGTGTCAATTTTCCTACCAACACGAAGTTCATAGCTAGCATAAACCTTAACATGCATAATGCTTATTACCTTCCCTAGTACCATTGTTGTCCAGTGAGTCTATCACACCCTTGCCTGTCAGCTGCTCTCCCTTGCTTGGCTGCTGCAAAGGGGTCTCAAAGAAGGGGTTTTTTCCCCCTGCAGATACATACTGCTCTGCCTACTCTTTCTGTGTAATCAATAGTCCAGACTCATTCCAGGGCAAACCTTAGAGGTTCTAAGAATTTGATCCAAGAATAAAAGAGATAGATCTGATCTCTGCACTTGGGCGCCCTGAAGCCAACAATTGCGAATCAAATACGCAGCTCAGAGCAGCCAGAAGACTACTTCTAGCTCATGCCTGCACCTAAAGTAGCTCCTAGAAGTCCCCAGGCAGCAGGGAGCACAAGCCATGTCCCCCTGGTGCCAGAGTCTGTACCATTACTGTCTGTGCCTGGGAGATTACCCATGGCAGCAAGGGCCACTCCAGTATTGTTTGTAGGATCAGGCATCCCACCAATAACACCCATACCCTACCAGTGGTACTAGCCACGTCTCTTGATATAACCCCTTCTGTTCCCAGACTGTCTGGTAATACAGCATTGGTACTCTTCTTCTCATCTGCTTCATGGTTAGTATAGCCGCAATATTATAAAGAGCTGTTTTCACTATTAAGAGGCACAATAACCAGTCACATTCATAATGAACATGCTTATTTTATTTCCTTGTTTTCTTTCCTATCTATTTTTTTCTTCTGGTTTTTACAACATCAATCATTATTTTATTTCTTTGCTCATGTTCTTGGTATATATCTGATCTCTGGTTGCAGGAGGGGTCAATTCTTGACTAAAGTGGGTTAGTCTGTTAATAGGTATTAAGCACTTACACAAGTCTTTGTACAGCCTTGAAATATGCAGACAAATGTACTATGGGAGAACAACAATAATTAATAAACATGACATTAAAAAATTTCAAATATTGCTATTTTACTTCTGTAATTCAGAGTTAAGAATTAAGTGGTTCAAGCAGGTTTTTTTTGAGTAGTGTCAACAAATAATTATTAATTTACTGCTCATATACATTAGATTGGCACAGTAATGCCAGTAATGAGTTTCAGAAAGCCCTCTGCCTTCAGCCTGAGCAATTAATAGTAGGTTATGTCTGCTAGGCAGAGAACCTTTTGGGAAGGCTAGACATTCATCTCATGCAAAGATGTTTATTTCAAAACTTTTAGAAAGTGTGTTGCTTCTACTCTATCAAGTGTGTAGCTCCTGTGTGTCTCATCACTCTTCTAAAAAGCTCTCTCTTGACTCCCTCTAATAGCTCTGTTATCAGTCTTGGCACATTTTAGCTGAAGTTCCTGTTATTCCATAAATAAAATACAGGCCATCTATATCATACCTTTTTGAGTTTCAATAAATTAGGACAGAGAAACAAAAAAATTGTTTAGAAGCTTTTTGTAGAGGAACCCACTTCCCAATTAAAATCACAATGAAGAAAAGCTCAAATCTATGGCATTCAAATAAGGCAATAAGAAAACATAAATTTAGTGTTTCCCAAACACAAAATTAGGTGTAGTAAACTTGCCTACATCAGGGGATTCATAGCAAATCTTGACAGGATGCTTTCTTCAGATGCTTACACATATTTGTAATCTACATCAAGCTAAAGGCACTGCAGATTTTCCTAGGTGACAGATAGTTCTCTGACAAAACCAGATCTTGTGGCTTTCATTCCTGTAAAAATGTACAGCAATGCATTTGGAAGTAAATCCAAGAAACTCCAACTTTAAAAGGGAGGGGGGGGAAGTATATTCACACAGAAAGCTAAACTATAATTAAGAAGAGAAATTTCAGAAATTGAAGTAATTATCAGCTCAGGGAATGTCCCCTTGCCAAAAAGAGCAATTCCACAACATTAAAATTGTAATAAGAAAGGACAAGGAGAACTTTGAGGGAAATGTGACAAAATAGTATATTCTTTTTAAAATAAATCATTTCAAAGAGTCTGAGGGACCTGTAGATGTTCAAAGTGTAAAAGAAGTGTTCAAGGGGGGCAGTGGCAAAACAGAAAAGCTCAGTCTATTGCAAATGGGTTTCCTTTGCAGTGGCTGAGCTTAAACCACTATTCCAAGTTGAACAATAGAATAGTATCCAGGGGGGGAAAAAGTAGTCAAAGAGCAAGTAACAACAAATTACCCTGATTGTTTAGTATACATGCAAGAGCTTTTAGCTGTCTCAAAAAGAAAAATGTTAAGCTTTCCACACTGGTGCAACTGTCAGTTAAACTGTCTCCATACCACACTAATAGGAAGTGAGAAATGTGACATTCAATTTTTTCAAAAAGATGCAAGCATTTGGAGTGCAGACTAGTTAGATCAACTTCAAGTTTTTTGAAACTGCAGAATTTGTAGTTCTAGGAATAAGTATGACAAAATATTGAATAATAAACATGACTGTCATAGAAACATAGAATCTAGGTTGGAAGATCAACCCTTAAGATCAACTCTAGCCTTTAACCCAGAATAGTCAAGTCCAACCCTGTCTAAATCCCCACATCTTCAAAATTCCACCAGGGGTGGTGACTCAACCACTTCCCTGGGTGGCCTGTTCCCATGTTTAACAACCCTTTCCATGAAGAATTATTTCCTAATACTCAATTTAACCACCTCCTGCCCCACCTGCCCACTTGAAGCCCCTCCCCAGCACAACTTGAAGCCATATTTCTTCTTCTATCACTTGTAACTTGGGATAAGAAACTGACCCCCACCTGACTACGCCTTCCTTCCTCCCTTTAGAGAGTTGTAGAGAGTGACAAGGTCCCCCTTTCAGCCTTCTTTTCTCCAGGCTAAAAAACTTCAGCTCCCTGAGCCACTCTTCATATGACTGACTATCTGGACCCTTCTCTAGCTCTCTTCCCTTCTCTGGACTTTTTCCAGCAAAGACTCAAGCAAGTCTTTCTTGTCATGAACACAGCATTTGAGGTGTGGCCTCACCAGTGCTGGCTGCAGGGGGACAATCCCTGCCCTGGTCCTGCTGGCCACACCATGGCTGGCACAGGCCAGGATGCCATTGGCCTTCTTGGCCCCCTGGGCACAGCTGGCTCCTGTTCAGCTGCTGTCAGAGGGCACCCCCAGCTCCTTTTCCACCAGGCCTGTAGTATTGCAGATGGTTGTTTTGGCTGGATGCTTTGAGAGACAGTATCAAAGGCTTTACTAAAGTCCAGGTACACAACATCCACAGCCATTCCTCATTCCCTCACTCAGCTGGTCACCTTGTCAGAGAAGGAGGTCAGGTCAGTACAAGTAGCACCTGCCTTTCATAAACCTGTGCTGGCTGGGCCTGATCACCCAGTTGTCCTCTGCGTGCTGTGTCATAGCACTCACAAGGATCTGCTCCATAACCTTCCCTGGCACTGAGGTCAGGCTGTGTCCTGTAATGCCCCAGATCCTCCTTCTGGCCTTTCCTGTAGATGGGCAGCCCATTTGCCAACCTCCATTTATCTGGGACCTCCCTGGTGAGCCAGAACTGCTGATAAAGGATTGAAAGTGGTTTGGTGAGCTCTTCCACCAGCTCCCTCAGTACCCTTGTGTGTGTCTAAGTGGTGCAAGAGGTTACTGACCATTACCCCTTGGTTTATGAGGTTTTCATCCTTCCCCCTGTGCCTGTCTTGCAGCTCAGGTGTCTGGGTACCCTGTGAACAATTGGCCTTTTTATTAACAACTGAGGCAAAGAAGGCACTGAGAATCTCAGGGTCTTCCTCATCCATTGTCACCATCTTCCTTCTTGCCTCCAATAAAGGATGGAGATTCTCTTTAGCTTCTCACTGCTAATGTATTTATAGAAACATTTTATTGTCTTTTACAGCAGTAGCCAGAACTCTTTGCCAAAGAATTCTTTGAAGAGCTGGTATGTCCACATTTTGTAATGGTTTGGTTTGTATATGCCACGTACTTCTGAAAACTTACAAAATTCCTGAGGGCAGGACCTAAACCAACCATAAACTAGTAGGGAGGGAATACCTTTTACAAGCAGAGTTCAGGCATGCATTATTCAGAGAAGTTAGAGATGACATGGGACTTTAATATATTGTGACATTACACATTGTTCTGGTGGTTTCACCTTGTCCAGTGGGAAGGATCTCACAGTACTCAGTGGCCTGCTGATCAGAGGAGAATCACTAAATACAAGGCAAAGAACACAAAGGGAAAAGCCCTTGTTTTATACTTTGCATGGTGGACTCAAGTTACTCATTGCCCCTCAGGACAGAGATTTTGCAGTGATGCTGGATAGGCCACTGAATGTGTCATTTCTATGCTCAGTGACAGGGAAAAAGGAAATTAAGCAGTATGAGATGTGAAGAAAGGGAAAGAGAGAAAGCATGTGTATTTGTGTACCCTATATATGTATTCTACTGTGTATGTGTAGCCCCTATTTACTGCCAAAGCCTAAGTGCTCATTTCCTCTTGCTGCGCCCAAGGCTGTCCAAGACCTCTCAGGGCACTTTTATTTCCTCAGTAAACAGCAACACTTCTATCAGCTGAATGGTTCAGTAGGAAATGTCTAAAAATC